AAGGCTGTATATTGTCACCCTGCCTATTTAACTTATATGCAGAGTACATCACGAGAAATGCTGGGCTGGAGGAAGCACAAGCTGGAATCAAGATTGCTGGGAGAAATATCAATAACCTCAGATATGCAGATGACATCACCCTTATGGCAGAAAGTAAAGAAGAACTAAAGAGCCTCTTGATGAAAATGAAAGAGGAGAGTGAAAAAGTTGGCTTAAAGCTCAACATTTCTAAGAAAACTAAGATCATGGCATCTGGTCCCATAACTTCATGGCAAATAGATGGGGAAACAGTGTCAGACTTTATTTTTGGGGGGCTCCAAAATCACTGCAGATGGTGACTGCAGCCATGAAATTAAAAGATGCTTACTGCTTGGAAGGAAAGTTATGACCAACCTAGACAGCATATTAAAAAGCAGAGACATTACTTTGCCAACAAAGGTCCATCTAGTCAAGGCTATGGTTTTTCCAGTGGTCATGTAGGGATGTGAGAGCTGGACTGTGAAGAAAGCTGAGTGCCGAAAAATTGATGCTTTCGAACTGTGGTGTTGGAGAAGACTCTTGAGAGTCCCTTGGACTGCAAGGAGATCCAACCAGTCCACCCTAAAGGCGATCAGTCCTGGGTGCACATTGGAAGGACTGATGCTGAAGCTGAAACTCCAAAACTTTGGCCACCTCATAGGAAGAGTTGACTCACTGGAAAAGACCCTGATGCTGGGAGAGACGGGGCAGGACGAGAAGGGGACGACAGAGGATGTGATGGTTGCATGGCATGACCGACTCCAGGAGTTGGTGACAGACAGGAAGCCTGGCGTGCTGCAGTCCATGGGGTCACAGAGTCAGACACGACTGAGCGACTGAACTCAACTGATTCACTTTGCTGTACATCTGAAGCTAACACAACACTGTAAATCAACTATGCTCCAAAAATTTTTTTAAAAAAGAAAAAAATGTATCTTTTATTATTAATTGAGAAAAACATTAACATAAAATTAAGAGGCTGTGTTATCATGGACACATTTAATTTCAGGTTACATGTTTATTCAAAGAAAATCCCACATTGATATATTGAGATCCCTGTGTAGTTAACTGTATGATCTCAAAAGTGTTTTAATACAGAGGTTTTCAGATAATAACTCATTTACAGTAAAAATTATATCCCTTCTACTTTACTCAGTGAAGTTCATGGCAATCATTTCTTATTTATTTCCACCAAGCAGTGAAAGAAACCAATTTCTGTCCTTTTTATTATGCTTTTTATCCATACAAAAAAGCTATCATCTTTTGTGTGTCTTTTTTTTAGAGTGAAATTCTCAGTTCTCGTGACCTCCTCTTGTAGCTGGTGTTCTCACAATCTTTTTTATCATTTGTATTGTTCTCTCCCGAATGCTTGGTGATTTGTCTCTTTTCTGAAATGTGGCATTCTGCTGAACTTAGTCCCCAAACCACAGCCTAACAGGACCTGAACACAGCTCAATCTGTCTGTATGCATGACATCACCATTACAATTCAGCACACTGTAGCAGCATTTGAATATTTTAAGAGATCAGAATGTTGACTCATTCAATGTATCATCCACTGTAATTCTTGAATTTTTCCCACTGCTGCTACCACCTTTAGCTTTTCGTTGCACTTTTTGGATCCATTAGCCAGCCTTGCACCAACTTTCCATTCTATTTTCCTGTGCCACTGATGTGACCTATCTCCCCAGTGTATCAGGACCAGGCTGTATAGTAACGAGCAGCCCAGATCTTTGCAACTGCTGCTTCTTCCAGGACTCCTTGTCATTTAGATTTATTAGCACAAATATACATAGCATCTCACTGACCAAAATTTTTTAGTATGTTACAATGTTACCTTGTGGATCAGACAGTAAAGAATCTGCCTGCCATGCAGGAGACCTGGGTTCAATCCCTGGGTCGGAAAGGTCCCCTGGAGAAGGGAATGACAACCCACTCCAGCATTCTTGCCTGGGAAATCCCATGGACAGAGGAGCCTGGCAGGCTATAGTCCATGGGGTTGCAAAGAGTCAGACAGGACTGAGCGACTAACACTTTCACTTTAACATTACCTTTGGAGAGTCTTTTAAGATGATTTTTAAGGTTCCAATTAAACAAAAACAAGCAAACAAAACTGACTGGTCTGTTACTTGAGGCACATTTAAAAAGAAACCTAACCCTCCCTTTAACTGACTCAATTTAAGAAAGTTAAACTTGGCCCCAAGTACAGGAGTGCATTCTTGTCTTATTGTTGAGCTGGCACTTCAAAACTACAGATAAAACCTCTGACCTCACACACAGCGAGCTCCGTGAGCATCATGTACACTTCCTGCAGGAGGTCACCTGTGTCACACTGGGGTATGGCATTTGGTTGAGTATTTCTTAGTAAACACAGAGTTAGTTTCATTTAGCAGGTTTACCTGCCCAGTCACAAAAAGAAGCAAAACAGGACCATGTAATAATGATGAAGGACATAAAAAAAGAAACTTAAAGAATTAGGCCCCAATTTAACTATTGTACCACAAATAAGTGGAATAGTTATAAGAACTGAAATGAGCTGACACTTTCATTTATAAGGGGTTTATGGAAGTGACGGAGGGTTCAAACTTACAAGTCAAAATTTTCTGTACTCTTTAAAACTAAACATCAATCTACATGCCTTCCTTCTGCTTGGAACCCCTACCACCCTCAGCAGTGGCCACAGGACTGGAAAAGCTCAATTTTCATTCCAACCCCAAAGAAAGGCAATGCCAAAGAGTGCTCAAACTACCGCACAATTGCATTCATCTCACACGCTCGTAAAGTAATGCTTAAAATTCTCCAAGCCAGGCTTCAGCAATATGTGAACCGTGAACTTCCAGATGTTCAAGCTGGTTTTAGAAAAGGCAAAGGAACCAGAGATCAAATTGCCAACATCTGCTGGATCATCAAAGAAGCAAGAGAGTTCCAGAAAAACATCTATTTCTGTTTTACTTACTATGTCAAAGCCTTTGACTGTGTGGATCACAAAAAACTGTGGAAAATTCTGAAGAGATGGGAATACCAGGCCACCTGACCTGCCTCTTGAGAAACCTGTATGCAGGTCAGGAAGCAACAGTTAGAACCAGACATGGAACAACAGACTGGTTCCAAATAGGAAAAGGAGTATGTCAAGGCTGTATATTGTCACCCTGCCTTTTTAACTTATATGCAGAGTACATCATGAGAAATGTTGGGCTGGAGGAAGCACAAGCTAGATTGCCAGGAGAAATATCAATAACCTTGGATATGCAGATGACACCACCCTTATGGCAGAAAGTGAAGAAGAACTAAAGAGCCTCTTGATGAAAATGAAAGAACCTGCCTGCCAATGCAGAAGTAACAGATGTTTCTTTGATTGCTCAGTAGGGAAAATCCTCTGGAGGAGGAAATGGCAACTTACTCCAGTATTCTTGACTGGGAAACTTGGACAGAGGAGCCTGGTGGGCTGTAATTCAGGACACAACTGAAGTAATTTAGCACATTTAAGTCAAACTGCCAGATAAAACAATCAAAGAATCAAACAAAAAAACAAAGAGGTGGAAAGTTGAGACCACAATTGTCAAAGAGTATATTTCACTTTTCTTCCTTGAATGTATGTATGATTAAATATCTTGGTCACATTTTGGATGTATTGATTTTGTATAAATGTTTAAGTTTTGATAGCCCAATTACAAGTGATAGAATTGAAGGGGGTGGTAAAAAATAGGAAAAGTTTTTAAAATAACATTTTAAGACCAATATAAAAGTTTTTAGAGGACTTAGCAAAAAGGATAAGTTTTCTAGAGAATTTAATCACTGTCTTCTAGTATATGATGGTTCCATTGAGAGATGATAGTAATAAAACATTTTCCTTCTCAGCTCAGTGTACGGCCAACATGGATTAACTTAAAAGAAGAAAACTCTAGAGAAGTTGAGAGATTATGACTAATTACTAAGTAATCCAGTGAAAGATTTCCCTCACAAACTTTTAAAGCAGGAGAGTTACATTTTTATCTGGAGTCAGACATAAGTTTAAATCTAAACAACTCTCAGGAAGACAAATACCATTTTGTTCCATAAACAAATTATACTTTCTGTGGTTCTCAATGTTCTTCTACAACAAGTCTCTTCTGTTGCCCACGGGGCTGTCTCAGCCACTGACACCAGGGACAAGCCCCCTGAAGCATGTAAAATAGAATCATCTGAACTAATTATTCTCTAAATCCTCACCCTTCTGATCAGACTCTCCTTAACAAGGTGGCCAAAGACTGGAGAAGTGTAATTAAAAATTTCCCAGAGCATAAAAAGAAATGGAACATAATGATCTTTGGAAATTCAAAGACACCTAAAATATTTTAAAAAACTCTAGTAAGAAAATCACTGATCTTTGATTTTGTTTACGCTTCATATTTTTTCATTAACATTAAGTGACATTTAGTATAATATTTAAGTCAAAAACAATTCTATTAAATATTTTTAACCTCACATAATATATGAAAATACTGTACTGTGAAATTCCAAGATAAGACACAAGTTTAAGGTTTCTATCAAAGGTCACTGAAAGACTAAAGGTTTTTCATAACATTTTTGTCTTTAGGTTTTACAATTAACATTTGCTATGTTGCCTCATTTATATCAAATGCTCACAGTTGTTTCATAAATAAATACCACAACCTTTCTAAGGAACTTCAGAGTTTGACCTAAATTTAATTATCTTGTTTTCATGGGACAGCAAAACTCTCAAGATTCAAAATAAGGTGACACCCTATATATGAAGAATAAGGGCCTCGCTTAAGAAAGGTAGATTAAAACTAGATAAAGTATTCCAAAGAGATGTACATTGTGGCTTCCGTGCCGCTGCTTGGTATTCTGTGAACCTGAAACAAAGTTCTGCAGTGTTTTTATCTTGTCTTGCTTTTCTCCAGCTGATAAATGTAATGCATCCACTAAGAATCTGAAAGTAGTACATATCATATCAGAAAAATAGGATTTGGTTCAACTTACCTGTTCCTATTGCTGGAAATCCAATCTGAAATAAGTGTTGATGCTTGTTGGTGACAGTGTTTGTTGCCAAAACTACATGCCAGCATTATAACTTCTCTACGTAGTTCTCTGGGTATCATTAAAAGGGAAAGAAAAATCAGCAGTGTCAGTATCTGGAGAGAAAGGGTAACTCATTACACTACATTACAGTACACAAGTAAATAATTAGCACAAAATAATTTTCAGACACGGGAATTCCATTTTGCTGAGTAAGAAATAATTAAGCAGGGTGGGAGCTGTGCATAAAAAAGTCTTCTCTGGAAAGAGTTCTCTAGTGAGGGGTCTAGGTTCAAATCTCAACTTTACCAGTAGAGGCAGATTTTAAATTAAAACACGGCAAAGAAAAGCCTTTGTTCTCAGTACCAGGTGGTGGAAACCGTGCTATCCACCAGCAGTCTTTCCAGGAAAGGGAAATAAAAGATGCAGAATGAAGGATCGTCTCACGCTGCTACAGTCACAGTGGTTCTAGTGGTATGTCACTGTACAGTTCTCTGGGGGAAAGCAAATAAGAAAATAAAACCGTACTCATGTTGGTAGGACGCTTGGACAAGAGATCCATTAAAATTGTTTTTTGGCCAACCAAGCTTGATGTATGTTGTTGCAACTTGCTTTAAAATATATTCCTAAATGAAGAGTAGGAGAAATAGAAATAATGTTACTTTCAAATCACTCCACTCTGACAACTGAAATTATATGGTAACTTAAAATATTTTCCAAATGAACCTACTTTGAATATCCATAAAATAATGGGTATGGTAAAGCTTTATTATAATGTCATTCAACTTAGTATTTCAAACATAGAAAATAAATATAAAATACAGTTGCAATGGTGGAAGTCTACTGTTTACTGCCTATTGAACAATTAAGCAATTTTCACTATTAAATATTGGAGATGACAATTTCTGTAGCAAAAAGGAAAGTAAGGAACATTGATAATGAATCCATGTATACATAGGTACATATGTATGTAGACGTAATTTATGAAAATGAGTACCTAATCTTTATCATTTTATGTAAATAGACCATATTTAATACAAAACTATTAGATAAGCCCAGCTAATAGCCTAGCCTTGTTGAACCTGACAGACACAGAACAGATTCACTCTTTAGTAAACTGATGTACTATTAATATTTCAAAATCAAAATTCATTCATCTAATGATATACTTAAATATTAGTAGTAATGTAAGATATGTTCTTCTCACTTTAATGTGGGCCTTGAATTTTGTCAAGGAAGGAAAGCACTGAAATTACAGTAAAAACAATTCTTAACTTTTACTGGAAATGAAATGCCTGGCATGATATACTATTCTAAAGTACAAATATACACAAGAATGTATTTTGTTTTACATAAGTTTAATAGTACAGTGTCTCTGTGTTAAGGAGAAAAGAGAAGGGTAATAAGCCTTTCTCCAGCAGATAAAAATGATACCATAACTGTACTGACTCTTGTATGCACGTCTGCTGCAAAGGCAGACTAAAACAAAACTAATGACAACGAACAGTCAAGCCAAGATTATTCTCATTAAAAACATTACTAAAGCCACGGTGCTTTCATGCAGGCTTAGGATAATTAAAAAAGCAACTCTTAAAAAATAAAATAAAAAAGCAACTCTATGGACATCATAAGCTGTTTATCATCATCACTGTTTAGATGACTCTAATAAACAGCTTTCACGTCGGAGCAATCAAGCCTCGAGTCATTTCAAATGCATAGGTTAATTAGAAGAGCCAGTATGTTATAAATTAGGAAAATTTTATAAGACACAGAGCAGAGTCTTCAAATAAGTAAAAGGAAAATAAATAATGCTCAATGGTGATAGAAGTTACAGATACACATTCTCACATGCAAAACTTCACTGGTGATAAGAAATTTTGGAATCAAAAGCTCATTAGCAGTACTCAATCCTAATGCTATTCAAAATGACTCTTCCATTAGCTTAGGTGGCGTTGACTGTGTGGGTCTGGTTTTCCAGCCCTTAGGCTTAAGAACTCTGGTCAGGTAACATCTTGGAATTCAGGTCTATTTGGATTATCTGTTGTTTGCTCTCCTATATCTCCTTGGACCCAATTATGAATGGGCTTTTGCCTCAATGTTGATCTTAACCTTGCTAATTAAGGAAGTGAATTGAATTTACTATGCCCTTTTGGAAAAAAATAATGACTAAGAATCTCTGCTGAAACTGTCTATATTCTGTGAAGATTTTTGCATCCCTCTCCCAGGTTAAGTCCTTTGTGAGCACAGAACCCTTTAACTCTAGGGAAGTAAGTCCGAACTTTAAGGATTTGTTATGTATATTTGTTCTTAAATTCGGAGGCATTTAAGCTTAACTGACACTTTTAGGCCAGAACAAAAAAGTAGCCTGCATTATACCCCTTTCTTCAGAATTTGTCATTAGTGTCATACAGAAAATCAGAACAAAAATGATAACACAAATTAGAAGGAACTAAAATAACATGGGATCAAGTTGAACATAGTAGATAATGAGAAAACAGTTTATCTTCTGAAAAGAAGAAAGAAGAAAATATATCTTTTTACATTGAAGACGTTGTATTTCTCCATGCGGTCCAGTAATTTATCTAGAGGATAAAGAGCTCTGCTGGTAGCATGCCAAGGAAGAAAATCCTTTTCCTCAGACAGGTATCTGATAATCTCCAGGGGAATATTCTGAGGCAAATACCCAGCTCTGCACAAAAAAAATTTAATGTTAATTATATGCAGAAAAGATACATGATGAGGCAAAAATGAAGATTTTATGTATGCAAATAAAAGGCAGAAAGCAAGATTCATCACAGTATAAAGAAGCCATACTCAGAACTATAAGAATAAAATTACTCATTCTCTAAATATAGTCCTACTTAGGATGCCAATGTCCCTTAATATATACAGAGTTAGACAGTTAAAAATTTGCATAAACACAAAAATATCAGCATGCATGTTTTTAAAAAGGAAAGAATTGTGGAACTTGAATAAAATCAACTCTAGGTATTTTCCTTCACGGAAACCATTCAGAGATCATAAGTCGCTGAAAATAATTGATTGCTGAAGTGAAATTCTTGGTTCTCACTTAACTGGGTTCTCAGTAAAAGGATTTGTTTTACTTTTCATATACTTCTGTATAATGATATTTAATCCAGGTTGTCCTCAAAAGGATAATCAAATTAAAATAGCAGCTTCCAGTTTTGACTGTATTTGTTACATTACCACACAAACATTTTTCAAAACTTCCTATTAAAAACAATTCTACCAATATAGCACCTATGAAAAAGAGCAGAGTTAGATTTAAAGTTTAAATTACAAAAATGTTAAAAAATAGACTCTTCCTCTTTATTATTTTCAATAGGTGCTATGTCACCATGGGGACCAATGTCAGATTCTTTGGAGAATATGAAACAGTAGCTTTAAAAACTGTCTGAACACACGAAGCCCACTTTTAAAGAGGGTATATTCAAAAAGGGATCCAAAAGAAGTGAATATCCCTACCCTACCGTGGACTGCATAGAAAATCCTCACAAATCAAAGCAATATGAAAAACAGTATGGAGTACATTAAAAGATGGTCTTAGCCTTCATGTCCCTGATGCATACACAGGGTGACACTATGCATTTTGCTGATTTTTTACATTAACAATAAACTGAATATAGACTTCTAACACAGGGGATAGGTAAATATGAAAGCAAACAAAGCCTGGTTATCTTCTTTACTTATATTTCACACCATTATTTTTTGTGGCATCACAAAATTAGATGGACCTTTTTGTTTGTGTTTGGTAGAAGGTTGTCAGGGAGGGAGAAAAGTCTTTTCATGTTCATTTCCAACAAGTTTGCCACATTATTTAGTCTTTACTAATGTGATAAGCAAAAACTACTCTATGCACAAATATTAACTTGCATCTGTGTTTATAATGTTCATAATGAAAACCAACTCTGAAGACTCTGCTTCAGGTTTCTTTGGATTTAATAAATGAACATACATCATCACTCTAATGATTTTGATTCACTCTTGGTATAAGATCAACCATAGCTAACGCCTGACATAAATCAGAATGGTGAAAATAACCCCGAATTTCCACACTCCCATAAAATGCCCTGAAGTTTGTATGCTTTAGACTCCATCTAGATTTGTGCCACTTTTCTTATACAGTTTCTATTTTATACATCCTTACAAAAATAGCATGAAATTAGGTTAAGGCAATAGTAATTAAATAAGAAATAAAACTTCATATTTTTGCTAATGTTGCATAATAAAACAGTTAAATTTTGCCTATAGGGGTTATAAAAGTAATGATGTGGTTTTCTTCCTTAAAAATAACACAGCTTCCAATATTTCAGATTTCATAATTTGTTTTTCCTGAACTTTTAATCCTAGATATTAACTAGCATGGTGATCATAAATTTGCCTTCTCTAAAATTATAAAATCTGCATGCCATGGATTAGATAATTTTAGAGTTGAAGAAGATTTATCTAGAACCCATTATTCTTTTATTGAGGAAATAAGAAAAAATAATGTATTTTTTAAAAAAGAACCTTTAGTAAGTAGCTAATTTATTAGGGTCCTTCAGATGAGTTTGGAAAATCAAGAAAGGTGTTTGGGTCTATTTTCTCACAGATTTAAATACACTACCTCTTGTCAGTTACAATTTATTGTGTATTATTTCTTCTTTATAAATGGATGGACATCTTTCAATGACTTACGTTTTGTGAGCAATATGACTACAAATAAAAAATTTGACAAATAATGTCATGAGAAGAGACTTGGTCGGGAAAAAAGAGCCTGAAGCTGGGAAGAGCCTGCGAGCCTGAGTGCTCACTGCAGTCAGCGCCGCCCACCCCTCCAAGCCGCACAGTCGTCTGTGAGATAAGAGGGTTGGACTAGGTGATATCTTTTTCAGGGTTTGAAGCTAACCCTTTTATTCTAACCCACTTACCTATATTTTAGCCTGCTTAAAAAAATCATTACCACAACAGGGGCATAATGTGTTTACTTAAAATTTTGGGAAAAAATGTTCATTTTTATATTCCCCATTACTCAGCTGTCTGATATGTACCAAGTCTTCTAAGAGTCAGAGCTTGAATCTAAGTTTTATAGGACATTTGACATAGTGTAAGAAAATTAAAGCAAAGCAAGTCTAAGAGAAATTTAAGTAATGACCAAGGCAAGTGAAGTATTCATTAAATCAAGAAATGGAGCAAGTTATGTTTTCAGTCCTTAAGGCAAAAATTGCTAACTGTGCACCAAAATCTATGCCCTCTTCCACTTCCTGGAATAAAGGATAATTCTCATTTCCTTGGTGGCCATGTGACTATACTGTAGCCTGTAGAGTATTGGAGCTCCTCACCATCAGGGTCAGCCCATAGACATCTTCATTAGTCCTCCATGTCCTTTTTCCCTAAAATGAAGCTTTCAGAGTGGCTTTGAATGGAACTCTTACACTGAATATGTTAGACGCCTACCTGGGCATCTGAATGACTGCATGCCCAAGCACCAGTTCTCACACCCAATTCTGTTTTGTGTGCAGGAAGTATACCTTTATTGCTTTTTTTTTTTAATCCAAACATATCTTTGGGTCTGTTTTTTAAAGCCATTAACCTTCTCTAATGCAGTCTTTAAATAGAATAAGAAAAGACTACTCTCAAATTGCCCTCATTTTGTGTTGTTACAAACATATGTAAGTAATTATCTACTATATAATTCAATAAACTTGCATTTAGCCTGCTAGATCAAAATATGTAGCTATACTCAACTGGGTAAGAGGATAATCAACTTCATTACAAAATTAAGACTTGTAAGAGATAATGTTGGTGAATAAGTTACCTAGTTTAGATATGTGCTTATGTAATTGGCTGGTAATGATATGTGTGATTAGTACTACTGATATAGGAGAAGTGTGTGGAATCCTAGTGAATGGAACAGTACATTAGCTCAAAGTAATCAGCCCAGTAGGGAGCACACTTAGGGTCCTGACGCTGAAATGCAGTTTCCTTAAATTTGCATCATCACAAGGAAATGTTACTAGAAAATGTGATGGGGGGAACAAATTTTTAAAGAATAGTGCATGTATAACTAACTATATGGGTTTTTCTTCTTTTAGGAATAAGCTGTAGATGATTTATCTTCTCTACTCTTGAGGTGAGGCTTGGCATAAGAAATTAGTTAGGAATCAAAACAGTGGGATAAACATGGGAAAAGATGCTCAACATCACTAATAATTAGAGAAATGCAAATCAAAACTAAAATGAGGTACCACCTCACACCAGTCAGAATGGCCATCATCAAAAAAATCTACAAACAAATAAAAACCAGAGAGGGTGTGGAGAAAAGAGAACCCTCTTGCATTGTTGGTGGGAATGTAAGCTGATCTAGCCACTATGGAGAACAGTATGGAAATTTCTTTAAAAACTAGGAATAAATCTACCATACACCCCTGGCCATATACGCTGAGGAAACCATAATTGAAAAAGATACATATACCCCAATGCTCACTGCAGCACTTTTTGCAATAGCTCGGACATGGAAGCAACCTAGATGTCCATCAGCAGATGAATGGATAAGGAAGTTGTGGCACATATACACAATGGACTATTACTCAGCTCTAAAAAGGAACACATTTGAGTCAATTCTAATGAGGTGGATGAAACTGGAACCTATTATACAGAGTGAAGGAAGTCAAAAAGAGAAACACAAGTACTGTATATTGATGCATATATATATATATATATATATATGTGTGTGGAATTTAGAAAGATGGTACTGATGAACTTATTTGCAGGGCAACAATGGAGAAGCAGATATAGAGAACAAGTTGTGGACACAGTAGTGGAAGGAGAGTGGGCCAAATTGAGAGAGTAGCATTGAAACATATACATTACCATGTGTAAAACACATAGCTAGTGGGAAGTTACCGTATAACACAGGAAGCTTAACCTGGTACTCTGTGAGTGGGGCAGAGTGGCAGGTGGGAAGGAGGTTCGGGGTGGGGGGGCATGTGGCTGATCCATGTTGATGTATGGCTGAAACCACCACAACATTGTAAAGCAATCATCCTCCAACTAAAATAAATAGTTTTTTAAAAACACCATGGGGAAGACAGGCAAATGAGGGAAGTTTAAGTGATGGATAAAAGATTGCCTGCATACACCTATACAGTTCTTCCTCCCATCCCTGTGTCTCTCCAGCACACACCTACCTTCTGCTCTTCCTCTCTAATTGGTGGAGCTTGCAATGGGATATATCTTTAGACATGCAAGAGGATATTTTATAGAGAAAGGACATTAAAATCAGACTATATTAACTGATGTTAAAATGCACTGACCTTAGTTGGCTTTGTTTTCACCTAAGATCTAAAACTACTTTTGAATTCCTATGAATGTTAACTCTTAAATCTTCTGTGATAGGTGGCTTGTACACATAACCTATTTTACCATGAGTTTTCTTTAAAAGTCATTGGTTTCTGGGTGCTTGAAACTTAACAAAAAGTAAAAAGCACAACCTTTAGACTTTTCAGAGCATCATACTCCAGTCTTCATTAATTGAATATTCATTTAAAAACAATAAATAGCCTACTACATATCTTACCATACATGAAGAAGACACTATAACTGTCCCTGAGGGCATAGATTTTTTTGAAGCAATTACTGAAATGCTTAATTAAGAAGCTTACTGTTCTATCTACTATTCTTTGCTAT